AGATGGTTGATTAGGTTAGAAGTTAAGTCTACTATTGAAATGGTAAATTTTAGAAAGAAGCTCAAAAAATGCTTCTTGGAAGAACAAATAATGAACTTATAGAAATTATCATCTTCGTCTTCCGAGAAATGGTATGTGCTGGAAATAAAGTTGATTCCTAAAAGGCTTAACTCCATCCAGAATTAAAGAAGCAGGACTGAGAGGAGATAGGTAAAGTGAGACGGCTCTGCCTGCCCCTCAGTCTTCCTTGAGCCACTGTGGGAAAGAATACTGGAGAAGATAAATCACCGTGACCCTTTCGTGACTGACAATATATGCTACTTTCTTATTTCCAGTTATATTGTAGTCAGTGCTGGGAAATGTGGACTGTTAAATGTGTAGTTCTCTGAATTTTACTTGCTTTTGTTCAGTGCTATTTGGCCTCACATCCTCAAAGGAAATTCACATTCATTTCAAAAATCATTGTTTTCATTTTCATAGGACATATATTTTATGATATATTTTAAGATAGGAATGCTTATACCATTAAAATAAGTAGGATTTGAATCAAAGCAAATATTGACAGAAAACTCTACCCCCAAATTTACCTTCTAAAGGAATCTATTATTGATTTAATTGTAGCTTGGAATTATAACTGGGTGTGCTCTTGTTCTTGCCATCACACCAACACTAGAGTACCAGGTGTCACTGGGCTTGTTTTGATGATGATGGTGGTGATGATGGTAGTGGTGATGATGGTGATGGTGGTGGTGGTGGTCATGATGATGGTGATGGTGGTGATGATGGTGGTGGTGGTGGTAGTAATGGTGATGATGATGGTTGATGATGATAGCTAACATTGTTGAGCATTGATAAGGGCTTGGCATGTGTTAACTCATTTCGTGTTCACCAGGACCTATGTGATAGGCATAATTATTATTCCCATTTTATAAATGAGGAAAGTGAAACAGAAAGTAACGGCTCAGAGTTGCGTATTTATAAGTGATAGAGCTGGGCACTTATCTAGGCATCTGGCTCCACAGCCCACACTGTTAATCACTATGTTGCCTCTTCTGTACTTTTATACTTAGGCCAAAATCTTGGAATAAAGTGACCATTTAAAGACTGCACAAACAATCTGGGAAGAGTTTACTGGCATATTCATTTTAAATCTTGTTATGTGGAACAATGGAAACCCAAATGGAAAGACTAAGTAGTGTAAGTGATTAACGAAGACTACAATACTGAAGGTTCACCTCAGATTACATTGGCAGAAACGCAGTTCTCAGAAATGCACTCGTTATTTCTTTCTTTCCCTTTATTAAAGTGTTTCAGAGTTAAAGCAAGGATAAACTCCACATGAATTCTATGGCTGCTGTTCCTGTTGAGGAAGAAATAGGCTGACCTTCTATGTCCTAGGTTTCCCAGAATGGACGGTCTGTGCAGGAGAGGCAGCCCCGCTCTGGGCTGGCAGTGGGCTCTGTGGAAGGGACACTGTTTAGGTGCATTTCTTTATTATATACTGTTACTGCCTGACTTTTTTTTGTCTTTCTAAATTACCCTAAAAGACTCTGTCATCACGTGTGGAAAACATCTGTTACCCTTGAAGGTTGTAATGGTGGTCGTGCGGTGCTGTCAGAGGGCCTTGTTTTACCGGTCCTTTGTATTGGTGTAGGCTGTCCTGTCCTCCGCGCTTGACTGTACACGATAAGGGTAATTCTAGGCCAGCTTTTCTCAAGTGGGGATCAGAGACTGCATCAGAGTCACCTGGGGAGCTTGTTAAAAAGGCATATTCCTGGGCCAGTCCAGTGGTGTAGTGGTTAAGTTTATGTGCTCCACTTCAGCAGCCTGGGGTTCATGGGTCCAGATCCCGGGTGCGGACCTACACACTGCCTCTCAAGCCATGCTGTGGCAGGCGTCCCACGTATAAAATAGTGGAAGATGGGCACGGATGTTAGCCCAGGGCCGATCCTCCTCAGCAAAAAAGGAGGATTGGCAACAGATGTTAGCTCAGGGCCAGTCTTCTTCACCAAAACAAAAAAGGCGTATTCCCAAGTCCTCCCCCCAGATTTGCCAGATCACTCTCTGGGCTTGCTTCCCTCCATTTGCATTTTAAACAAGCAGTCCAGGTGCTGCTGATGTCCTGGAGAGTGTGGAAACCACTGTTCAGAAGACTGCTTTAAGTGCAATGTGTTCATCACGGTACTGTCAGAGGCGCAGGGGTGATTAAATCCTTGCCCATTGCTGACAGTCTGATAGGGAAGATAACACTTACATAGAAATAACTGTAATACAAAGTAAAAATTAAGTACCATAAAAGTAGAAGCAGCTACTTCTGATAGCAGGTGTCAGAGAATCTTCCAGAGGTTTTTTGTTTTGTTTAGTACACAATAGGTGCATTTGGATGAATCTTCATTCATTCAGCACACATAAAGGTCTGCAGTGTGCTTTTCATCTCCTTTACAGCTCACTGGATAATTTCCAGAATTTCTATAATTTTTAGAGGTGAAGGCAAAGCAGTCATATTAGTAAAGGCTCCTGCATCTAAACATGGGGACAGGGTTTGCCTTCCATAAATTACCAAGCTTACTGGTCACTCATGATGTTTCTGTTAATTACTTTTTAATTGGAGATTGCTAGCATTTATATGACCTAGAACATTTACAGCGAGAGCTTCCTCTTCAGTGTGACTATGCCCAGAACTTTTGTCCCAAGTGTTTGTGACGTAATCAACTCTTTTTATGAAAAGTCATTGTTTCCTTCCTCATGGTTAGTTTATAGTCCACCTATGAGTAATACTCCTAAAAATAAGTGAAAAGAAATAGGCCAACAATGAACAATGGAAGGAGAAGAGAGCTAACATTTATTAACCACTATATGCCAGGCACTGTGCCAAGCAAATTTCAGAGGGGTTAGGTAAATGTACTGGTCCACACAGTTGCTAAAGCCAAGAAAATAGAGATTCTAGATCTTTGGTGACCTGGTGGCTTTTATCAGCAAGTGTCTTGTGAGTTCACTGGTCGACATCTGAGTACCTGCTGCATGGGCACGGGAAGGGAGAGAGAAATACAGCGCCAGACCTTGGGGAGTGTACAATCTAATGAGAAGTCAGAGATTTCCACAAATAACACACACAAGTAAGAGAAGGGCACTAACATTCGCATTTACTGCCTATGCGTTTTCAGTGTATTATCCCATTTAACCTTCACAGCAGACCTGCAAAGTGGAACCTCTTGTTACACAGGTGAGGAAATTGTGGTTCAGAGAAAGCGTGTTATCTAAGGTTACCCACCTAGTAAGCAGCAGGGCTCAGATTTGCATCTGAGTCTATGACTGCAAAGCCTCTGTCTTCCTTGGGAATTCCAGTGACAGACTCTTCAGTCTGTCCTGGGGAATGGCGAGGCTCTCGGGAGCTGCACTGGATGCGTTCTAGCTGAATGGTTAAGAATCCATAGGATTGAGCTAGACGGAAAGTTCAAGCGGCGCCCCAGCAGAGCAAAAGTATGGAGGAGTAGGAGTATGTGGGGATGGACATGCGGCCGTTTCCACATGAGCACACCAGATATGGAGCCCATCATGAGAAGTGGACTGGAGAGGTGAGCTCTGGGAAGATCCTGTCGTTCCTCAAGCTTCAGCTAGGGATGGGGAGACCTGAAGGGCTGAGGTCATGACACGTCTGTGTTAGAAAATGAACCAAACTTGGTAACTAACTGCATGTTTCAAGAGAGGAGGGAAGGAGGGGTCAACATGAATCAAAGCTGATGGGATGAATCAGTGTGGGTTGTGCTGTGAGGACAAATGAAAGAATCCATTAGAACATCAGTTACAGCTCCAAGTAATGTACAAAATAGTGCACAGCTTTACCTTGTCTGTGACCTAACCGTATTTTCCCCGTGGTTAATTCATATGGCATATGTTCTATAATTGCTCTTTTCTAAGAATATAAAGCTATGCATCAATTAATATTCTAGGATTTTAAACAGAAAATATGATCTATGCTGTCAATACACATACATGTATACATATATGTAAATATACATATAGAAGGACTAGAAAATGTGACTGACTTAATTTATTTTCCAAATTTTACAAAAGGACATTTACTTCTATAATCAGAAATAAAAATAACTTAAAAAAAAATAAAAGCCAAATTGCCTAAATGTTTACTTGATGGACCATTTATAAATTCCTTCAGAATACCTAATCAGACATTGCGTGGAGGCTGTTCGTTGTATGGTCTGCCAAAATCATTTTCCAGTGACGTTTTTTGAGAACTTTGTTTCTTCATTTTCTGTTTATATAAAATTATTTTAATTTTAAAATTAACTTAAAGTACTTGAAGTATATATTTAGATATTTAAAGATTTGTAGTTTTTAACTAATAACAGTATTTTCACTCTCCTGCACCTTTTCATAATGTTGATATTAAATTCTTAACATAGTTGATCAAGGAAGAAAAGCAAATTCATATCAGTTTTCATTTGGTATTATAAAATGCTTGGATATTTTATTGACCAAATGGAGCCATCATGCCTGTTACAGCCAGCATTCCACTTTAATTACAGTACAGTCAGTCCCCAATACTGAGTACTTTGCATTCAGACTTTTTTCCATTTTGCTTTTCTAAAATTTACTTTACTTTAAAAGATTTTAATTTTAGAAGAAAAAATGTATCTGAAAGTTTGTTTTTCCCCTTGACACTCTCTGACTTTAAAAATGAATGGCATATTTTTTAAAATATCAGTTTCAAGAACCAACTTGTTTGAATTTCAGTTTGAAATACATTTTTATTTTGTTTATAAAATCTTTACAGGCAACTTTAAGATGAAAATTCTGATACAACTCAATTACTTTTCTGTCAAAAACAACAATTTCTCAGGTCTTAGTGTTAACTTTTTGTAAAAAAGTGTTAACTTCTTTATCTTTAGCCAACACAAATTAAAATTGGAATTTGGATTTTACTTTAACCTAGTTGTTCATATGCTGTGCAGAATTCATGGAATTTTTTTCTTACTATTTAGGAAGTACCAGAAAGGAACCCGAGTCCGGCTGCGGCTGTTAGATCTTGAGCTCACGTCCCGGTTCCTGGGAGCAACGACAGATGCAACCCTCCTAGAGGCCGATGCTGTCCTCTTAGGACTGCAGGAGAGCAAAGACTCCAAATCGAAAGAGGAGCATCGTGAGCAGTAAAGGAACTGCGCTTAGTGCAGTCACTTCTTTTGTGTTGAACACAGATATCCATCAAGAACGTGATTAGAACATTACAAATAAACGATTGAAAGAAGACATAATAAAGGAAAACTGTGATTATAGCTCTTCCTTGTTAGAATTTTCTTTAGTTGTGTCTCCCTTCCCCCCTTTTTTATACCCTGATTGGGTTAGTGTAAACGGTACTGAGAAGTTCTGCCATTCAGTAAGTACGTTTGGAGTGCTGTCTACAGATAGGTCTGTATGGCACTATTCTGAACACCAAAGAAACAGAGTAAATAAATTAGACAGAATTGCTTGCCTTGTGGCGCTTACTTTGACTGGGGGAGATAGACAATAAATAAGTAAAATATATGGCATGTTGACCGTGATACGTGCTAAGATCAAAAATAAGGCAGGGAGGGCAGAGGGTCTGAGTAGATGTTTCTCCAAGGAAGACACACAGACGGCAACAGGCACATGGAAAGATGCTTCATATCTCTAATCCTCAGGGAAATGCAAATCAAAACCACAATGAGACATCACCTCACGCCCGTTAGAATGGCCACCATCAAAAGGACGAGAGAGAACAAGTGTTGGCAAGGCTGTGGAGAAAAGGGAACCTTTGTGCACTGTTGGTGGGCATGTAAATTGATGCAACCACTATGGAAAACAGTATGGAGTTTCCTCAAAAAATTAAAACTAGAACTACCATATGATCCAGCAATTTCATCTCTGGCTATTTATCCAAAGAAAGTGAAAACACTAATTTGAAAAGATATATGCACTGCCGCGTTCATTGCAGCATTTTTTATAGTAGCCAAGATATGGAAGCAACCTAATGGATAAAGAAAATGGATTATATGTATAGGTAATGGAATATTATTCAGCCATAAAAAAGAAGGAAATCATGCCATTTGCGACAACATGGATGGACCCTGAGGGTATTATGCTAAGTGAAATAAGTCAGAGGAAGATGAATACTATATGATCTCACTTATGTGTGGAATCCAAAACAAAAAACAGAAAAACCGAGCTCATGGATGCAGAGAACAAATTGGTGGTTGCCAGAGGCGAGGGTGAAATGGGTGATGGGGCTTAAAAAGTCTGAACCTACAGCTGTAAAATAAATAAGTCCTGGGGATGTAATGTACAGCATGGCGACTATAGTTAATAAAAACTGTACTGTATATTTGAAAGTTGCCAAGAGAGTAGATCTTAAAAGTTCTCATCACAAGAAAAAAAATTTCGTAACTGTATATAGTGATGGATGTTAACTAGACTTACTATAGTGCTCATTTTACAATATATACAAATATTGAATCATTAGATGGTATACCTGAAACTAATATATGTTATATACCAATTATATCTCAATAAAAAGTAGAGAATGGGGTTATGAGATGTCAGAGTGACAGATTGAAATTTAGGTGTGATGTTAATGGAAGGCCTCACAGAAGAATTTACTTTTTTTTGATCTTTTTTAATCTATTTTTTTTTACCTTTTTTGATGTGTAATTTTGTTTATTTTTCCTTTGATACAGTAAGTATTTAGAAAAAGCTTTTCTAAGAGCTTTTTTTAAATTGAAGTATAATTGACATATAACATTATATTAGTTTCAGGTGTACCACATAATGATTTGATATTTGTATATATTGCAAAATGATCACCACAATAAGTCTAGTTAACAACCGTCACCATACATAGTTTCCAGGAATTCACTTTTGAATAATATCTGAAGGAAAAGAGGGAGCTAGCCACATAAGTCTCTGAAAAAGAGTATTCTAACAGAGGGAACGGCTAGTGCAAAGGCCCTGAGGCGGGACTGTGCCTGTCCAGTTTAAGGAATAGGGAGGAAACCGTTGTAGCTGAGTATAAGAGGAGTAGAAGATGAACCTGGAGAAGTGAGAGAGGCCTCGTGGTCCTACTATGGACTTTGGCATCTCTTTACTCTGATTGAGGTGGAAGGTCTTTGGAAGATTCTGAGCAGAGGAAGGATATACTCTGACATTTTGGCAGGCTCCTTCTGAGTAGACTGAAGAACAAGGGCAGCGGCAGCAGCAAGGCCTGTAGGAGACTTGTAATCTAGGCGAGAGACGAAGGCTCTTGGATGAGTGGAGTAGCAGTGGCGGTGGTGAGAAGTGGTTGCAGTCTGAAGATGTTTTGAAGGTGGAGACAATGGTGTCTCCTAACCCACTGGATCTGGAGTGTGTGATCGAGAGTGGAGTGAGGACTTGAATTGCTGTCACCCGGGATGGGGAAGAGCAGGTGTGAGGGGACTGCTGAGCGCTCAGTTTTGGACATGTTAAATTTGAGATGCCTGTCAGCCATCTGAGTGGAGATGTTCTGAAGCCGTTGGATACATGGGTGTGGAGTTCATGGGAGAGGTCCAGATGGAGGAGAGAAACTTGCAAATCACAAACATTTTATCATCCTTACAAATTATGTAGGTCAAGAATTCAGGAGGGGTCAACTGGGCAATTTTGTTCCTTGTGGCATCAGCTGAAGTCACTCAGCTACCTAGCTGGCTGGTCTAGTGGGGTCCAGACAGCCTCACTCAGTTGTCTGGTGTTTTGGCGGGGGTGGCTGGAAGGTTGGGGTCAGCTGGCTGTCAGCCAGAGCATCTACACGAGGCCTCTCCTGCACGCTAGTATCAGGGTGGTTCGACTGTTTGCCTGGTGGCTGGCTTTCCCAGAGTGAGCATTCCAAGAGAGCCAGAAAGAAACTACACGGCCATTTCTACCTAGCCTGGGAGGGCACGCAGCTTCACCTCACTCAGGTGGTTATAAACGAGTTATTCGGCTGGCCCAGATTCAAGAGGAGAGGAGTAAGACTCCGCCTCTCAGTGGAGCTGTGGCAGTGTCACATTGAAGGCCAAATGAGATGAGAGAGATTGTTAGGGTCATCTTTGGAACCTAGTTTGCCACATCATCCCTTCCCAAGCTCACACTCCCAAAATCCCAAATCTAAACCTCAAGCCTTCCACTCACTATCCTTCCTGCTCTCTTAATTTTGTATGCCCAATTGAACACATCTTCAAAAATCCTTGAGACTCCAATCCACTGACTCCCAATTTTTCATTCTTTTATCATCCCCTTCACGTTCACACTACCCTCCTTACCCAGCTGTAAAGTCCGGGGCGCATCACGTAACTGCTCCCTTGCAAATCAAGTACCCTTACATCCTGTCACCTTGCTCCCTCCATTGCTTACCTGGCAAAACTCGAATGAAATCTGTCTAGCTACTTCATGCCTGTATCCGAGCAGCTCAACATTACAGGGGAAATCTCACAATTATATTGATTGATCTCTCTTTAAATCTGGAATTCCAGGCTAACATATCAGATTAAAATACACATCTAACTTCATTCCCTGCAAAGCTTCACTAAAAAACTACAAGAAAGGAAGATGGATGGATGGATGGATGGACGGACAGACGGATAGATACACACGTGAACACTCCCACACAAAACAAACTCAAGTATGAGAAAAACAGGAAAAGAGACAACAGCAACAAAATTTTGCAATCTAGACAGTAGATGGATGCATAGAAATTGACTTAGCAGAACAGACAAATTCTGAGCTGGCAGTGGGGAAAGCTGAGAACCAACCTGATTTACTGCAGAATCATCAGAACGTTCAGGAAGTGGCAATACTGGGTACTTACGGATCTGGGAATGAATTGGGGGCAGAGGGACCACAAAATAAGGAGGATTGGGTAAAAGCTGTTTGAGAAATAAGAACCTAGATTCCCTCCTCCACTCCTCTCTAATGGCGCGGCTGCCCCCCTCCACCCAAAGTGACTGTGTCCCCCGACCCCAACATAAGTCTGGCAATTCAGTGTTTGGATTCTGCTGTCTGTCTTCCTTTGTGGAAAGGATGAAGTTGGCGGGGGGCAGTAAAGCAGTAAGGCAAATGCTCCAAACAGGATTATTTCCTTGTGTTCTGAAGACTGGAAGCCAAGGGGAGCACCATCTGAATTGTGGAGGAGGTGCGGCCAGGAAAAAAGACAGAATCTATATCCTCTGATGTTTCAGATCCTGTAACCAGAGCCTAAGTTCCTGTTTTCAAAGGCTCATCACCAGAAAATGCCTTCTCATCTCACGACACCAATGTAAAGGCTAGTTTTTTTGTTGTTGTTGTTAAAACATTTTTTTTAAATAATTTTATTTATTTATTTTTTCCCCCAAAGCCCCAGTAGATAGTTGTATGTCATAGTTGCACATCCTTCTAGTTGCTGTATGTGGGACACGGCCTCAGCA